GTGAAACTATTTTTCATTCGTGATCTATTGAACAGGGAAATTTTTGATTTAAAATATGTCCCAAGTAAAGATAATCTGGCTGATCCCATGACAAAACCGCTGACTAAGCATAACCTGGTAAAATTTTGTGGAACAATTTTCTTATGAAATTTGTTTTTGTGTGTATTTAAATTAAGAGTTTTGTTAATTTGAAAAATATGTTATAAGTCATATTATGATGGATATTAGGTAAATGTAAAATTGTATAGTGTAGAATGTTGTATGAGTGACCAGGGCCCTGGGTAAATGTATTGAGTGTATGATCATATATATGTCTTTGTATTGTTTTGTAACATGTTGGACTTTCTTGCTACGGTAAAAATTTTTGAATAATGGGATAAGATTTTCCCAAAGAAAAATTTTCTTAAAAATTTCTGAATGAAATTGTGATATTTATTTATTCTTGTTTTGAATTTTGTAAAGATACTGGCATTCGGTTTTTATTTCAGGTCGGAGATGATGATGTGGGGGGGGGGCATTTGTTGGAAAATATAGCTTATTTTCAAACCTTTTACTGCATCATCTCTCCTCCTTGAAATGTTTATTTAGTTTAGTCCTTATTTTAATATAATATAGTAGTTACTTCTACTTCTTTTTTGCTGCCACTGTTTGCATTGAGAACGGACTGTTTCAACCTAATTGAGATGCAAAAACGAAACATGATTTACGTCATCTGAAAAGCCGATTCGTGCCGATAGCTGATTGGTTGCCGTGAGATGACGTCATTCCTACTTCTGCTTCTGCGTCATTCCTACTTCTGCTCTACACATCATTTTTCAGCCGCTGAGCCCCAAGGGACAAGGTTGATTTTTTAAGCGCTCTCACGAATTGCCATATTTTGCTTATCTCAACAGGCCATCTAGAACTTCTAGAACGTCATTACCTAGCGTAAGTATTGTCTTTGGTATCATGGTGACTCTCTTCGGCATCACGTAATTCCAAATTAGGATAAGCGTACCCGGACAGATTCTTAGCATCATGCTTACGAGACAAGGCGCAAAAGCGCAAGGAGAAAATATACCAAACTCCCCGCTTTGGAGAATAGAACGGATAAACGAATTAAAATCTGAACGCAAAAAATATGAAATTGTAGGCAAAACGGAAGGTCTCAACTCAGAGCACAGACAAAAAATGCTAGCAATAGATGACGAAATTGCACTGCACGATGCAGCTTTAAACACACCGATCGCGGACAAAGATATACCCATAAATGTCTCACCAAACAGCATCAATACTTTGCCGAAAGGCTCAATCAAAAACATCCTCGAAAGGCACCAAGAATTAAGAGAAAATATTACCATACTTGAAAACAAAAAAGCTAATTCCCAAATAACGGAAGAAGAAAAAATTTATCAAATACTACTAGATGAAATAGACGAAATTAATATTCTACTAAACCACCAGTTCAATCAAAACGATTTAAAAGCTCTCGTCAACAAAGACAACTACCCATATAGTACCCCAACCAAACAAGATAATTGGAAAGAGGCCCCAAAGTCCAAAAGACACAAAAGATCAAATTCAAACCAAAGTGAAACCAATTCAGAAATAGAAATAGTAACCGCAAATAAATTCAATAACCTACTCGACGAGTCAACAGATGGAGCCACTGATGCAAACCAACAAACGGAAGACGATATCACTGAAGAGGAAGAAAATACTTTTAAAAAAACCCATAAATATGCAGGGAAAATTCCCCCATTCATTATAACGCAAGAGGATATAAATTGGAAAGACCTAAGAAAAGAAATAAAAGAAACCCTAAATATCACCAAGATCGAGAGTAAAAAAGAGGGAGACAATCTCAAAATAAAAGTCTTCACCGCAGATGATTATAAAAAACTCCAAAATAAATTTGACAAGGAAAAAATCCCTTATCACACATACTTACTAAATTCAGACAAAACAACTAGAGTTATCCTGAAAGGATTAGAAACGTATTTTACACCAGACGAAATCAAAGAAGATCTTATTTCACAGGGAATCCCTGTACTCAAATGTAGGCAGCTAACACGCATGCGCGATGGCATCCCATCTCTTCTTCCCGTTTTCTACGTGGAAACGCCACGAACGGAAGAAGGCAAACAAATCTATAGAATCACGCATATACTTGACATGAAAACAAGAGCAATCAGCTACAAATCAAAACCCGGCCCAACACAATGTTTTAATTGTCAGCGGTACGGGCATACACAAAAAGCTTGCCACAACAAACCTCGTTGTGTCAGATGCTTAGAAAGCCACAAATCCTTTGACTGCCCAGCTCGTCTTAAAAAGGAAATACCAGCACAATGTATATTATGCAAAGGGCCTCACCCAGCATGTAGCATTGAATGCCCTGAAAGACCAGGCAACGCAACCGAAAATATTAAAAAACCCATAGAAAACGAAAAAATTAATACAAATTCCCGGAGCACTGCAAGTCGCAATACTCCCAGCCAATCAGGCAACACCTTTCTATCCTACGCTGCAGTCACAGCATCAACCAAAAATAATGGAAACAAACAGCCGCAACTCAAAGAACCAACCCATCAAAAAGAAGAAACCGCCACAAAAGAACCCCCTCAATATAAAAAACCGCAATTAAAAGAATATACTCAAGATAAAGACGAGGATTTTGATGATTTTGTCGAATTCATCGAGCAAATACATGACCTTTACCTTAAATTTAAAAATACTCAAGTCAACAAATTAAAGATCGCCTTAGAAGCGGTAAAGATTTTTCACACCAAAAATTATGTATAATCACCGACAACAAATCAACCAAAGAAATAGACCGCATATCAACTATGCTAAATTTTTATCCTTCAATAGCAATGGTATTAAAAGACAAACGCTACAATTAAAAGATTACATCAATACACATAACCTGGACGTCATTCTCCTAAACGAAACGCATCTCAAACCCGAAGACTCCTTCAAAATTCCTAACTTTGATATACATAGAGTGGACAGACTTCACAACCGTGGAGGCGGCACAGCTATCATCATCAAAAGAAATCTAAATAGCACCAAATTTCATTTACCAACCCTCAACAGTATAGAAGCATGCGCCTGTATACTTCCCAGCAGGAATATAAACTACTTACTAGTCGCAGTATACAAACCACCAGGAAAAGCCCTATGCACTCAAGACATCGATAAAATTATCAGTTTAGGTTTCCCCACAATTATTGCGGGGGACCTAAACTCAAAACACACCATCTGGAACTCCAAAAATAATAAACCTGGACGGAATCATTACTCTACAACTACAGCATCAACAATAATATCATCATCACTGCTCCAATAGAACCAACCTTCTACTCCAAAATCCACCCAAACTCCAACGATGTACTAGACATAATCATCACCTCTAAAATTAATCAACAACCATATCTGCAAGTAGACACAGCATTAGATTCGGATCATCTCCCCATCAAATTCACCCTGCATGGCCTCCAACAAGGGCTACCACCTTTAAAATGTAAAATAAATTGGTCTAAATTTAAACAAGAAATAGACAATAGCATCAACCCAACCTTTTCTCCTCAAAATGAAGAAGAAATAGAAAACGCAATAAATTACTTCTCTCAAAAAATTCAACTAACCCTCGACAATAGTAAACACCCCATCCAAAACAGTAACGCAACTCTCCCAAAAAATATCCAAAACAAGATCAAAGAGAAGAATAGATTAAGGAAAATTGCTCAAAACACACAAGATCCAAGAGACCTACGGGAATTTAACAGAAGCAACAGGCAACTGCGAAAACTAATAAAAGAATTTAAAGAAAACTCCTGGAACATCTTCCTAGAAAGCCTTTCCCACACAGACAACTCCGTCTGGAAAATAGCCAAATCACTTAAAACAACTGAAACAACCATAGGTCCAATATCTGATGGCAATACTACCACTCACAACCTAAACGAAATAGTAGAGCTTTTTGCAAATTCCTACGAAAAACAATTCACGATAAACAACTTCCCAAACCCAAATGACATAAATATTGAAAACCATGTACAGCACATCCTAACAACTGTCCCGGATGCCCCCATCCAACCGATTACTCCACTAAAAATCAAGACTATTATCAAAAATCTAAACAAAAGAAAAGCCGCAGGCCATGACAATATCACCAACAAAGCATTAAAAGAACTCCCAAGAAAAGCAATAGTATATCTCACTAAAATAATAAATGCGTGCCTAAAATTAAATTACTTCCCTGCACAATGGAAGCACGCCATCATAACCGTCATAAAGAAACCAGGTAAACCAGGAAAGGCAACAACAGACTATAGACCCATTTCACTACTATCATCATTAGGAAAAGTCTTTGAACGTATCATCGTCCAAAGGCTTGAAGAATTTATTACAGAAAAAAATTTACTACAAGAGCATCAATTTGGATTCCGGAAAAAATTCTCCACAACTCAACAAATAACGAGAATCGTAGAAAAAATAGGCGAATCGTTCAATAAAAATGAAACAACAGCAGCATTATTCCTCGACATAGAAAAAGCTTTTGATAAGGTTTGGCATTACGGCCTCTTTATCAAACTTATAAATTACAACTTCCCTCTGAAGAGCATCGCACTCATAAATAGTTTCCTAAACAATAGATCCTTCCAAGTAAAAATCAAATCCCATACTTCTCTCATCAAAGAAAATCAGTAGCGGCCTACCACAAGGTTCAAATCTCTCTCCACTACTATATAATTTATATACAAATGATATCCCAATAATAAAAGATGCCTTCATCGCCTGTTACGCAGACGATACAGCTATTATCTGCAGCTCCATGAATCCAGACTATGCCACCCAAAAATTACAAAATGCAATAAACCAACTCGCCCCCTGGTACAAAGGATGGAAAATAAAAATAAATGCCACCAAATCAACAGTAGTCATCTTCAAAAGAACACAATCCAGGCATATTTACCAAGATCTGAAATTTGAAAACAACATTATCCCCCGGAAAGCGGCTACAATATACTTAGGAGTCCTCCTGGACGAAAAACTAACCTTCAAAAATCACATAATAGAAACAAGAACCAAAGCATCCAAAGCTCTACAATCAATATATCCACTAATTGGAAGGAATTCACCTTTAAATATAAATACCAAAAGAATCCTCTACCTGCAAAGCATCCGTCCTATATTATTATACGCTGCACCAGCATGGGCAAGTGCAGCAAAGAGCAATAGAGAGATCCTGCAAAAAATTCAAAACAAAGCTTTAAGAATGATAACAAATGCACCATGGTTTGTAAGGAATTCCACCTTACACAGAGATCTAAAAATAAACCAACTAAATACAGAAATCCTCATTCACTCGCATAACTTCTTTCAAAAATTGGACAATAGCAACTATGACATCCTCAGAAAAATAGGAAAATACGATTACACAGTATCTCAGCCCTTTAAACGGCCAAGAACAATCCATCATAACAGCAATTGGTGATAAATCAACAAGCGACCGGTAGCTTAGCGGGATAAACCCCTACCACTGTGCATCCTAAGATCAACGGTTCGACCCTCAGCGGAACCTTAAAACGCAAAGGACTTGTATATATTTTAAGAAAAAAAAATTTTTTTTGCATATAATCAGGAAAAAATAAATATCAGGAAAATAAATGTACATAAAATTGAGAAATTCTGTATATAGAAATCCAGAAAAGAAAAACAAGAAGCAGAAAAATATTATTATACATAGATGAAAATAGAAATTATCTTTAATGTTTTAAAAAATATTGTAGGGCAGAAATTAAGTGAAAATTCATGAACTTGTATATATTTTGAAAGGACTTGTAGAGATTTTGAAAATTTAGCATATAATCAAGAAAACTACTTTTTGGAAAATAAATGTACATAAAATCGTGAAATATTCTGTATAGAGAAATACAGAAAAGAAACAAGATGCAGAAAAATATTATTATTCAAATATGTAAATAAAAATTATTTTGATGTTCTAAAAAAACATTGTAGGGCAGAAATTAGATGAAAATTCATACACAAAAATAGAATCCACAGCTGCTTAGTACAGACATTGAGAATTTCCTTCAGTCCTGATTATTCAGGTATTTTACCTCAGATGATTTTGTCCACACGGAAACAAAAATAGATTGGTAAAGGCCCTCACAGGTCGTACACCTCTTATAAACGCTATGGTCTATGGCTCAGCGCTTCTAGTTCCTGGTTTCCCGGCTGGTAAGTGAGCGGTTTCCAGCCCCTTCAAGGGATGCATTGATTCCAGTTTGCGAGATGATGGTTCCAGATTGAAGTTCTTCAGTTCCGGGGGCTATCCTGTGAGTCACTGCCATGGGCGGCGTCCATGTTTCTTCAATGAGGGCAGAATTAAAAATACGTGAGCAGCGACGACTCCTTGTGCAAACGAAGTTAGGCCGGTTTTAAGTGGTTTCACATTTAAATTTTTCAGGTGTTTTCTTGACCATTGATTGTGGACTTATTGAATGGGTAGCCAGCTTTATTTTTAGGCTGCATAGTCACTATTTAGGACATCTTTTTTTTTTTTTTTTTTTTTTTGTTTTTGTTTGTATAGAATGCCAGTGTTTTGGAGTATAGGTAAAAATATTTGATGAATGATGATTATGTTGTGTTTTTCCTAATACTCTAATATTGTTGACATTTATTTTATGTGTTTTTATTTTTTATTATATTGTTAATAAATTTGTTAAGTTCAAAATCTTTTATTGTCTTCAATGTCTGCTCAACATATCTCAGGGAGCTTTCATTGCTACTACTGCTAAGTGTTTAATTTCTTTAAACTTTGCTTTAGCATCACGTTGTTCCTTAATCTTCAAATTGGATCTGGCTTATTATTTTTTGCAGACTGTAAGAGCAATTTTATAAAAGTAAGCTTGAACTTTCGATTATGTCAAATAGAATTTCCGATGTGGGAGCTCCCAAAGGATCTAGAAAACGAAAGTATGTTTCGATGTCCATCAAACAAAAAACGAATTGCTACAAAAAATGGATAAAGGCATATCCTTTGTTTATCTAACCATTCCGAAATCTGTTTATTAATTTCACGCTGCTCTGCGGGGGGGGGGGGCGTCGCGGCACGCAATGAACTGGAAGTTGATCTGTCAGCACTATCATTATCTTCAGGGCAGATGTTTTTATTTTATTCGGTTTATAATTCCTTACTAAATGTAGTATTTAATCTCGATGTACTCCGTCTTTGATATGATTTAAATCAAATTCCTCGTCATTATAAATACCACGAATACAAATCAAATAGTTTTCTGGTTGCAATTTTCTAATTTCGGCTATGCGCGCGTTGAAAGAAATGTTTAATAAAGTAAATAAATATTAAGCTTCTTTTTTTGTAAATTTTGATACCCTTTAGATCATAATTGCTCATTATTTTATAAATTACGGTTTCATATTTTTAATTTTATAATTTCTGCATGCCATCTTACCAGATTTAAACTGATGATCTATAATCCGGAAAAAATCGATAATCCGGAATCGCCGAAGTCCCGACGAGTCCGGATTAAAGACTTTTGACTGTATATGGCTTGAGCACAAAAAATAGTCCCTGATTTCAAGATGTAAAATTAAAAGTTACTTGAATAAATTGATAAATGTTATATCCATGGTTAATTTAACTCAACATATGTTTCTTTCCTTTCTTTTTGGAAACTGCTAAACATTATTCCTACTGCTAGAGGGCAGTGATATCGAAAATGGCATTTCACAGCAACAAAGCTGGTGCATGTTACTTTTTGTCATGTTTTTTTGCAGAAATAAGCAGAGTTCTTAGTATGTACTATACAAGCAATAACAACAATCGGTCTACTCACAAAGCCATTTTGATGTATTATAAAACATTTACACATTAAATGCTAGGCCTATTTTTCATATCTAAAGCCATTCCCTAGGAAGAGATGTGGTGTATAACATGTTAACAAGACAGGTTGCATTTGTAATAAAAGAAAAAGATATTTTGGTTGACCTTCCATAGCAATGGAAATTGTGGATCAATAGAATTTTTTTCCTCTGGGAATTTGTGTACCAAGTATACAGATCAATTGAGTCAAAAAACAACAGTTCTGTATATTGTGGCCGATTGACAAATTTGAAATTGCATTTTTCATGTCTCAAGAGCTTGACTTAAAATATGTATTGCTCTGTATTTCGACACAAAATCGACAAGTTGCACATGTGCACATATATGGGTTACAAATAAAGATCTTTTCGCAATGTTATGAGTTGCCTCACTGCCTGCTGTATTCTTTTCAGGGTTAGGTGCATAATTATAAAGTACTGATTTCCCCCCCCCTAAATCTTCATTATTTGTTTCTGACATATTATATAAGAAAAAAAAAATATCACTGCTTACTTTTATTTGTTCAAAGTATGCAGATAAAGAAGTCTATACATTATCAAAAGAATATAAAATATGGTAATTTTAAGCTCATTAGTGTTTTTGATGGTATTTGCATTGAAATTGTTGTTTCACTTGCCATCATTGAATTTTAGTGCCAGAACAAAATCCTGATTCTGCATCCATGTCTTTAATTATTTATTATAATATGCATTTTCCTGAACTTCAAACACGTTTTTATAATTTAAATCCATTCTGTATTCTAATAAAGTATTAACTTTCAGTGGATTGCAAAATGTCCATAGTTTATACTGTAATTGTTTGCTGGCAATATTTATAATTTGATGATTTTAAAAATACACAAGTATGCACTAAAGTAAATAGCAACTGCTAGTAACTAGCTGCAGTTTCATTATATAAAATAAAACTGCAGCTATGCTGAATTTTAGTGCAATGTTAATGTATTTTGTTGTTTCTGTCTATTTATGTTATGAAAACATATATTTTATGTAGTTTTTAATGCATTAAGCATCTTGGATTTTATTTCTAATTATTTGAATTTCATGAATATTTTATTTAAATGCTTTCCTTTCAGATAGCAACTTTAGCTTAAGAAATGAAAAACTTATCAACAATTTTCTTAACATTTATAAAATAAATAATGAAAACTATAATAAAAATAATTTGATTAAAATTGTTTTAATTCATATGGTGGAGTGTATTATTTCTGTGAAAAATAAAATTAATGCAAAATTAGCAAGCATAATACATAAAAAGATAATAATTTTCATGAAATTTATTTTTTATATTTCAGCATGTGCCCAAATGTCTCGCATGGTTTTCGGATACAGTAGAGTACTGCCAAAACAGAAAAGCGTTTGGAAAGAAAATAATTGATAATCAAGTCATTCATTATCGTTTAGCCGAATTGCAGACTGAAATTGAAGTCTTAAGATCATTATTGTACAGAATTGTTGGTAAGTTAGAAAAAGAGAGTATAATTCAAAAAGGTTAAAATATACTTAACAGTAAAGCTAAGTATATCTTAATCATTCTAAAATGCTATTAATATAAAAATCTTAATTTTTTATTAAAAAAATTATGAATTCATAAATTTTATGAAAATGTATCAATTAAAAAATAATAAATTACAATTTTTTTAATAATTTAAACTTTATACATATAACTTTTATTGTAAATTATGCTGAGTAGGAATTCTGAACTAAACTGCACAGAGTATCATTGTATTTATAATATTACAATAATACTCTGCACAGTCTACTACTACTTTTAGTTACAACTATAAATGCCGAATTGAACAGATTAACACATCATTTACTTAGTTTCTTTTAATTTAAACATAAACTGTTAAAGCTTTTATAAATTTATAATATTTATTCACCATTCAAGCAAGCTAATAAATATTTAATTATACAAAATTCAAAGTTTTCTATATCTGTCAGCACAAAATCATTTCCTAATTTTTTTATTTCAACTTTTTTTATTGTATTATTTCAAGATAACAAAAAATTCCTAAAAGCAACTTCTATATTTCTAAACAAGTAAAACCAGATGTAGTATTTTATGTACCAATTCAATTAAGTCTGATTTCATTATGTTTCATCTGAAAATTATTGAAACACTATTCTGTAGAGGATATGAATTTTATGTAACTTAAGTCCTTAACCCTTTTTTACCGACATACTAACTAGCATGAAACAGACTCATATGCCCATAGGATTTGAAATAAATGTACATTTGACCTTCTACTTAAAATGCGACAAAAATGACTGACACGCACTTGAGTTTTGATTATACAAACATGGGCAAAAGGCATGTTCTGGACTCGCAGGTTTCCTGGTGGCTGTTGAAATGTGCATATGATATTTATTGATGAATCTTATAGAACTTTTTTCCCCCTTGCTGCAGTTGGGTGTTTCTTTAAATGCGAGTATGGTACTTATTGATGAATTTTATGAGAGATTTTTTTTTTTTTTTCCTTTTCTGCTAAAGAGTTGGGTGTTTGGGTTTTGAGAATTATACTTCGTATAGATTTCTATTTTGAGTGTTATAATGTCACTCAAACACTATCAAAAATTTTTAACAAAATGAAACCGATTGACATTTTTAGGCAAACGAAGGTTCAGTATGGAGATGCGTGTTTGTCACAGCCACAAATCTATGAATGGTGCCGGAAATTTGCAAATGGTGTTACGTCCGTGGCCGATGCTCCACGCCCCGGCCAGGCTCAGCGCGTAGTGACTCCAGAGACCATTTCAGCCGTTGAAGCCATCGTTTTGGAAAACCGCCCTGTGACAATAGACGAAATTGCAGCATGTGTACACATGAGTCATGGATCGGCACATCATATTGTGCATGATGTTCTCCAGTTTCATAAGGTGTCTGCAAGATGGGTGCCCCGACAACTGACGCCTGAACTGAAACAGCGACGTGTTGATGCATGCGAAGACCTTTTGTGGCGTGCTGAACTTGACGGTAATGCCTTCCTGTCACGAATTGTCACTGGTGACGAAACATGGGTGCATTACCATCAGCCTGAAACAAAGCGAGCGAGCAAGGAGTGGCGCCACTCCTCATCACCGAAACCCAAAAAGTTTCGGACACAGCCGTCTGCAGAGAAGGTTATGCTGACCCTCTTTGGGGATGAAAAGGGCATTATCTTGGAACACTACACACCACAAGGAACCTCTGTGACGAGTGCTATGTACTCGGACCTCCTAAAAAATCATCTCCGGCCTGCCATCAAAACGAAACGACGTGGATTGCTGTCAGCCGGTGTGCTGCTGCAACACGACAATGCACAATGGTTGCGACCATCACAGACCTAAAATTTGAATGCCTCCCACATCCCCCTTACTCGCCAGACCTCGCACTGAACGATTTCCATCTGTTTGGTCCGCTCAAAGAAGCAATGGGCGGCAGGAAGTTCCACTCCGATGAAGAGGTACGCAACGCGGTGCACGAGTGGTTGCGCCGTCGCCCAAAAGACCTTTTTTCTGCAGGTATTCAGGCTCTTCCAAAGCGCTGGCGGACTTGCATTGAACGAGGAGGGGACTATGTTGAAAAGTGATTTACTTCTGTACCCTGTGTGACCAATAAATAATATTTAAAAAAATAATTATGGTTTTCATTTGACTCCCCCTCATATATTGATCATTTTATCATGTCTCCATCACTGGCAGATGAACTCTTTAGACTTGGAACAAGTACTTGTGGGACTGTAATGAAGAGAAGGAAAGGAATAATGAAAGATTTTCTGGCACCCAAAATGAAAACTAGCAAGACGTTGGTTTTGCAGTAAAAGAATCTAAAGACTGTTTTCAAAGTTAAATGGGAAATGCATTGTTCGAATGAAAGTTCTAAGAAAGTGCTTCATTTGTTCACACTCCTGTAAAAATCCCCAAAAAAGGCAAATGAGCTATTATGAATGCAAAGATTGTAACATTGGACTGTGTGTAGATCCCTGATTTGAAATTTGTAATATTAAAAATGAATTCGAAGTAAAATGTTTAGTTGTCAAATGTATAATGTCAAAAGTCACTAAAAGACAAATAAATGCTGAAAGAAAAATAATGTGCCAAATAAAAATGTTTAAACAACAACACAAAAAAAAAACTTTATGAAGTATGTAAATCAAAAATTATATAAAATGTATACTGCATATACAGGGTGAATCTGAACAAGAGGGCAAAACTTTAAGGAGTGATAGAAAGCAGCTATACAAGCAATATTCATCATAAAATGTATAGTCGGAACACAGGCTTTGAGAAGTTAAGGGGTAGTTTTCCACTGTCACATTTAAAGAATTAACACAAGAATGAGCAGTTCATCACCCTGGAAATTTCATTGTTTACATAAGCAGCCGATCGTCTCGGCAATTCACGGTAGGTAATGCCGCTGGATGCAAGGACCGACCCTTTTTGTACCATTTTCAATGCCACCTAGAGGCTTGCTGTTTGCGTTCCATCCATACATTCTAAGAGAGATATTGCTCGTATAGCTGCCTTCTGTCACCCCTAAAGTTTTGCCCTCTTTTTAAAATTCACCCTGTAAACTCTACAGAACATTGTTAACTAATGTATTCATCTTTCCACAATTTCGTGGATTTAGGTTTAATAGGCGAAAATACTTCAACCTTGGAGAGATAAATGCTCATGAAAGAAACAACTATCCCCAGCAGTCTATGTCCCTTTCGTAGGGGAAGTTATCTAGTATGATAAAGCATTGTAAGGCTATCTTTATTGTATTATTTTCCAAGAAAAATGGGTTTGCATTTAAGTTAAGTTATGCATGGGGAAAAGTATAAAAAATGCAGCTACCTAAACTCAGAATGAACTGTTATACTTCTAGTGTCTTATCCATTTGGCCATTGGCAAGTCTTGCTTAAATGCTGTGTTACTAAAATTTCAGTATGGGCATTTCCACACTTGAATATCTCATCTTTTTTAGATCTAATGAAATATTAATGAACATGAAAACAATATACGAACTTTCCAGCCTTTATGTATTATAGATAGTCCAGGTAGTTCGGTTCCAGTGAAAGGGCTGGCAGCATGGGCATTTTCATGGTTTCCCTTAAAAAGACTTCCACAGGGCATTCCCTCCCTTTCCGTGTAGTGCCTAAGGGCGGAGCACGTAATAAGAAAGTCAAAAAATGCTGTTACGAAATTTCCAAGTTTGCATTTGGTTTGATCTCCTCAGCAGTTCATACAGAAAAATATGATTACTGTTTTAGACATTCAGTTTTGATTATTATTTTTTCCTTTAAATTAAAAAGCATTTTGATATAAACAGAAATATTTTATTACCCTTTGATTGCCTTTTTTTTTTTTAAATCCATTAAAAATATAGATTCACTTTTATATCTTAAAGCATCACTGATATTTTAACAATAAAAATCAGTTTTTAATATCAATTGTGTATTTTTTTAGAGAATCCTATTTTAAGAACGAGGCAGCTATAAACTATTTTTATGCTATTGTACAAAAGTATTCTGTATGAAATCCAACACTGCTTTTGCTTCTAATTTGTACTGTTTGTTTTGCATTTTCTTGTAACTAACAATCATGTTTATCTTGCATTTACCACTCTAATTCTTAATGTTTGCTGGTGCAGTTCTTTGCTTCCATTCACAGGACGTAAGCAATGACAAACATTTAAAATAAATTGTCAGTTATACTTATCTCAGGAAGAACAATATACCAAAATCACCAGAGTGAAATTAAATTCAGGAAATGTTTGTACTGCAATATGTTAAATGTAAACAAACATGACTTCATCAGTTGGGCATGCACAGAAAATACCCAAATGGAGATCATTGTAGGCAATATGTTAATTTCAGTATATATAATAATTTTTATTGTAAACAAAGTAATGGAAATATAAATGAATGGATGAAGTTCATCTAAATCTTAAAAATATTTCTATCAAATAATCATTTTAGCAGTTATATAAAAAAAAGAAATTAGATCTTAAAAGAAAGAACAAAATTGTTTGTTGTATATTTAAAATTTTTACTCGATTTATATTTTAGAAATGAAAAATGAAAAGCAAGACATCACCCTTTTGGCTTCAATGGGAAAATTAAAAGCTGGTCGTCTTTGCAGAGAAGTAATGGATTCATGCTTACAGTTTTGGGGAGGTATGGGATACACAGAAGATGTGCTTATCAGCAGATTTTACAGAGATGCCCGTCTACTTTCTATTGGAGCTGGAACTGATGAAATAATGTTATCAATTATATGTAAATATATGGGCACACTGCCAAAATAATAACAATCTGTTTTGTTACATTTTATATGGTGATCCTCAGAGTATTTTTTTACATTAAATATATTCACTGTTTATAAAACTTTTGTTTTATGGTTCATGCAGTTTTCTTCTTGGGAGGGGGAGGTCAGTTTTTTGCATTTTCATTTCCATGCATGCAAATTTTGCTCTGTATAAAAAGTTGTATCCAGTGGTGGATTGGCCAAAGAAATCAGCCCTGGCAGGAAAAAATATGTCAGCCCTTTTTAAGACCCCATATGAAATATCATTATACATATATAAGTTATCATTGTCATAATCATCATAAAAAATAATTTTATAAAATAAAAATATACCTTTGCAGAAAAGGTATATTTTTCTGCATATACAGGGGTTTGACAAAAATATGGAAACACCTTTAAAAAAACATGTTTCTTTGCTTAATATGGTGTAGGAAACCCGTTGGCATCCAAAACAGCTTGCAGTCTTCTCGGAATGGATAAATACAGTTCCTGTATGTTTGCCAAGGAAATATTATACCATTCTTCCTGCAAAACGGTGGCAAGTTCAGATAACGATGTTGGCGGTGGATAACGAGAACGCACTTTCCGTTCCAATGTAGACCACAAAGGCCAGGGGAGATGGGACAACTCATCCTCGTGATCATAAAACCAGTCCTGGAGAGTGTGAGTTGTGTGAACAGGGGCTTTGTCGTCTTGGAAGACACCATCACCATCGGGGAACAAAGTTTGTACCATGGGATGAACTTGATCGGCCAAAATGTTCACATAAGTCTTGCCAGTCATGAGCCCTGACACAGTTATGGGGCTAGCAGAGAACCACGATATGGCTGCCCAAACCATAACAGAACCCCCGCCATGTTTCACTCTTGGCAACAAGCAGTCTGTATTATAGGCTTGAGATGGTGTTCTCCAGACGTAAACTCGGCCAGAAGTGGGAAACAATGTGAAAGAAGACTCGTCAGACCATATTACTCGCTTCCACTGCTCTATAGTCCAGGCTTTATGACTTAAACACCACCTTTTCCTGTTACGGGCATTAGCATCACTGATGAGTGGCTTCTCGATTGCAGCACGGCCAGCAATTCCCTGTTTATGAAGCTCCCTTCTAATTGTTTTGGTACTCACAGGGTTCGGTAACACAACATTCATTTCAGCAGTAACTTTTGCAGCTGTGGTCTTCTTATTTTTCGTCACAATTGCCCTTAATGATCGTCTGTCGCGATCACTCAGGACACACTTTCGTCCGCGCTGTGATTTAGCAGATGATGTTTTTCCGCTTTTCAAATATGCGGAATAAATCTTCGATACAGTACCTCTGGAAACACTAAAACACTCGGCTACCTTGCTTACGGAAGCACCTACCATACCTGCTCCAACAATTTGCCCACGTTCGAAGTCCGTTAACTCTGACATAATGCAATGACAACCTCACATAACAATACTCCGACAACAACTGAACTGTTTAGCACATTTACGAAGTTGTATAGGTGGCGTCAGTAGTCAAAAATGCCAGCGCCACCTACATATTTCATTAAAATCAATCTTTCTTTTCAAACATGCATTTCACAAGGTGTTTCCATATTTTTGTCCATCCACTGTATATGTATCCAAATAAACTACAAACAATAAATAACAGCGACTATATATTTATACAAACAAAACAGCAGCTGATTCATAATTAGCCATTTAAATATTTTTTAATTCTAGGTTGTCTGGCAAATATTTCCTCCATTATATCTTCAATTTTTGCTTTAGCCAAAATATCCTTCTTTATGTTTATCAATAGTAATGACTCCAAATTAGCATGCTTCATAGTATTCCTTAATCTCCTTTTTACAATTTTTTATGTTGAAAAAGTTATTTCGCATTCATCATTATAGATAGGATGAATACAATCGTACACAGAAAAAAGACATTGGCTTATGCAATACTATATAAATTATATTTCAAAAGTAATTTATATGCACACAAGATGCAATTTTTGAAAAAAATTTAGCTTTCGAAGAATGCTCATTAATAGATACAGCACTCTCTCCTTCTGACTTGATATTAGATTCAGAATAATGATTTTCATTTGAATTTTTTATTGTTTCACATTTAATTATTAGGTCCTGATATTCGTTCTTAAGGTTTTTATCAATTGTTACACCTGCATAGTGCCCTAATAATATAGAAAAATAATCAAATTTTTTGGCGACAATGGCTTCGAAAAGTTTTGAGGATCGAGAAGTGATATGTCTTCATACAACTTCCTGTGCCCTTTAAACCTACTTTCCATTAATGAAATAATGTTATCCATTATAAAATTAAAGAAAGTAACTTCGAATTGTGTAACCCTTTGCGACACGCATATTTAAAATATATTTTAATCTTTAAAAAAATGCCTTAGAATAAGTCAGATGGACTTACTTAAGTGCCTTTAAAGCTTGAAAAAAATTCTGCACTTTTATTTTTTACGGGGTAAGGTGGGATACCGTTTGTCCCACCATGCAACTAGCACATGTCTTATAGCATATTGGTGTATAGCAGGGAAAAAAAAAATCATATGTGGAATGAATAAACAAAATAAAGCGTGCATTCTAAAATATTCATAATAAACACACTAAAATGCATTTTGTACTTATTGCATATATGCATGACTTGTAAAATTTTGCATATATATATTTAATATTTTTAAATTTTAGGAACAAAAGAAAATATTTTCTTGAATATTATTTTAAGATTAAAATTTGATACTCGTACATATGATACTAAATAAAATATTAAAATTGGCACTTGATTCAAAAACATTTATATATGATTAAAATTGAAAAAAAGTCATTTTTCATGAAACTTTGAAAAACATGTTGTTTCATTCTTTTGTAAGCATAGAGGCACTTCACATGTTTCACACATCCAAAATGTTCGTCGTTCTTCTTTCGATGCTGCAATATGCACATCTTCTTCCTGCTCGTTCTCTTTGGCGTGTGACTTACATTTTTTAGTCTCTTTTCTGGTTGTACGAACAGGTTTTTAGTTTTTATTTGAACTGGGGATTTCAGTTTTCTTTTCAGCTCTTTCTTGCCTGCAAGTGCCATTAGACCTTCTATAACTGAGAGAAGAAAATCTTTCATTGTTTTTACATCATGATCAGGTTCGCGAACAAACTTAAATAGAATAAATGCGTTTACTATACTCGCATCTAAAAAGTAAAAAAAAAAAAAAAAATCATGTGCCACCATTTCTTGCTTTTGCGGTCTATTTCATATAGTCCTTTCAGTTGATCAATCAGTCGACATATCCCATATTCTTATTGTATGAAATAATAATGTTTGGGCACAGTACTTTTTTTTTTTTTTGTCTTTCCATCTCGTTCTTTTCTATTAATTTCTTTCATTTCAGTTGCCTTTTCCAAGCAAGACAGGATAGAAACGGATCTTTTATCCTTCCATTTTATGCAATAAATTGAATCATCGCTAACTGAAAAGTCTATATATTCTCTTGACATAAATTTGTCTTTTAAATTTTTGGGTAGATACTTCCGATTCATATTTACAGTGCCACATGCATAGATGGTCTGTGTCTTTAAAAAGCGAAACAAATTATAACTACTTCCCTTTCTTCTTCAGCAATAACTTCAACCTCAGTTATTCTCTCCTGGATTTCAATTTCATCTGAATCAGAACTGACATCTGAAGCATTTGAGTCGCAATCGGATGGCAATTCAGCAAAAAGATCCAAAGCTTCCTGAGTTGTTAACTTTTTTCTAGACATTTTAGCACATCAGAGCATACAACGGATGTAAAAGCGCGCGCAATCACGAAAAAAAAAAAAGTAGATGCAAAAAAGAAAAGAAAAAATAATCGTGAGTGCTGCCATCTATTGAGCGGAAATTCAAGTGTGTGGTGGGACAAATTTTAACCCACTTATTTCAACTGCAAAATTAATGTTATAAAATATTGAATCCAATTAAGATTTTTGAAAATAAAATACCTTTGAATATTAAAAAGAATCATACATATCATAAATTGTATACCAAAATTTTTAAAATATTGAAAAATGCGAGATACATGGATACTCTTGTGATCCTATTATGAATATTTTTTGCTTATAAACTTAAGCCCTAGTATAGTAGTAACATCTACTGAGAAAAATAATAACTAAAATAGATTATTTTTAAAAGATTAGAGAATTTCTAACGGAAATTGCTGACTGAGAAAATAAATATTAATTAGGTGGGACATATATTGACCCACCATGCCGCAAAGGGTTAATAGGGCAATTGAAATTTTAGTCGACTTATTCTTCGTCCATTTGTTTCACTTTTCGTAATCTTCTAGCAGGTAGCTCTTCTTCTGTAATTATATCACAACCCAGCCCCTCCAGTTTATTAATGCAATCCGTTGCAAACAATTTTGATAGCTAAATATTAAATTGAGGTTTCTAGAAATGGCTTTTAAAGAGCCTGTAACCTCCCCAACCATGTTATATCAGGCATGAAAGTGCAAGTTGGCAAAAACAGCTGAACAAACGCGTGGACACAAAATTACACAAAAACTAAATGAGCATGCGCAACCTCAAAAAACCACATTTTAATAAAATACCAACCTTTTAATATAAAAAGTATAATTAAACTAAAATAATACTTGTACTTACTATTTTGCTATTAATTTTATCTTCCATTTGTAAAAAATCAGTAAATCACCAAGAGATTTTAATGAATTAACCTTCTTTAAGATGCTTTTTATGTAGCAGTTGATACATGAATACTGTACACAACATTACAACACATTAATATACATATTTATGTTATATATTGCTGCCCATTTTCAGGCAATGACAAGTTTAGAGATTAATATATATATATATATATATAACTGTTACCATAGCTTTCAATTATCTTCACTTTTAGTTCAATAAACAGTACTTTATATAACACCAGAAAAAGTAGTCATATGAGATAATATAGTTACAAAATAACATAATATATAGTTAAAGGAGGAATATAAAAAATAACTATTTTTCTAAGTCTCACTTTGATCCTGATTAAAATTTTTAGGGAAAAAGCTTTTTCTTTTTTGCTACTTTTGCAGCCAACTTTTCTAATTTCTGTTTGCGAGCTAGTCTCAATTTCTTTTCAGCAGCTTTTTTCCAATCCATTGTTATTTTTTATGGTTTTATTTTCTTCTTTATTTTCTGCGATGTTTAATTGCTTTTTTTTTTTTTTTTTAAGATTCTCGCTCCTCCTTTTTTATCTCTAGCTCTTCTTTGTATAGTTTATGAGCATTCCTTAAATTTTTACATAGAGTTTTGTGCACTGGAGAATGCAAGTGGTTATCTGTATGTCCGAACAGATGGCGCCAGCACCGATCGCTGAAATTATTGAAGTCAACTCTCGTTTGACGGTTGCTTGCTCTTCTTTGATTCGATATTCGTACGTATCTAGTTCCGCCTTTCCACATAAGCCCCACCTACTTCGCCTTGATGTGAAACAACGTATTTCGCGATCTCTGGCATGATGCAAACTTTTTTTACAAAGACAAGAGGAAGAGAGAGAGCATGTCCTCCGTTTACCCCCCAACACACACACATTTGCCAGTCACGATTTCTCAACGGTTCTGCATCCATGTCAGAAACAACCCGGGTGATGTTCAAAAAAGCGGAATTCCGCGAAAACATGGAAAACTTTCATGCCTGTTATATGTTAGGATGTAATCTAATGCTTTAGTCTGCAAATATTTCGTTACTGGCTCAATATATTGAAATATTTTTAAATATACGAGAGCTGACAATATTATTCGAAAAGCTGATATTTTATCTGGAACAGATTTTGCCATTAGTCGTATCTGTGCATTTTGTATACCATTGGAAGATATATTTATGAATGAAAGTATTAATTCTGTGGACATACCCTCACTTGCAAAGCTGTCTCACTGAGTCATCTGTGTCGATTCAATTGCTCGAGTTTCTTGATCGACCTGAAATCGCACTGGCCCAACGGGCTTCTGCCCGGTTGCCTGCCGGCCCTATCCATCACTGGTTGTATCCTTATATTTACTGCTTTTATGCATAGAGAGATGAACCGCTTCACCATTTCTCTCAAGACAGACTTGTCAGTTTAAAAAGTGTCTTCCGGCATCAGTAATGGTACACCCGTCTGTGTTATATTTGGCCTAAGCCTAAAATGAAAAGAGGTAATTAATGGCTTAACTGAGCATGCTTTCAAGATGTATGAAGGTCATACAAAAGCCAGTTCACTTAAAAAGACAGGAAATGGGAACGTAACTCCAGCCCCTTTTAGCTGGCATTGCTATGGAACTAATGCCAGTCTGTAAGTATACTTTTAGGGGGATTCTCTTTGTTAATTTTTAGATAAGAGACTAGGGAACACAATAGAAATTTTTTCCTGGGTGTGGAGACTAATATTCAACGTCCTTGAATGTGACAAATAGGTGGTTTTCTAAATAGGTCTTGACATCTGACAAAAGGAGAAAAGATGTATTTCAGATTCAGATACAAAATATTTTATCTTTGGTGGGGGGAAGCAAATATTTGAATTTTGTAGCATGGTTAAAATATGGCACTTAATGGTTTATCGATTATCTCAGAAAATAGGCCAAGTTAACCCCAACTAAAACATACTTGCACAAATACAGATTAATATCGCAAGCAACAAATGGTGGTTAAAACTAAAGAGAATAATTTAATTTAAAGGGGTTGAGCATTTATTGACAATAATTTTGTAGTAACTAAACAACCTGCCCTAGAGTTTGACATACCACAGTCGGAAGTTATAAATCTTTAACCAAGATCTTTTATCTAATAATAATTATAGAAGACACTCTGTGCCTAAATGACTATTCTTGATCTCAGACCTAAACTAATTTCCTTCCTATCACACTTAGCAGGATCAGTGCAAGGAGCCATTAACACACTGACATCAGCAGCAATTAACATTTATTAGTTTTTAAACTCCTTTTGGGTGTGTTACATTTCCATAAACTTTTAATCTGAGCAAATTTATGTAACATGATTCAAAGGGGAGATGGAGTAATATTGAACTCAGCTATTGGTACAACCTTCGGCCTTTCATACCTTAAGTGGGTCTGTAAAATGAGTTCCAACTTCGCTTGGGGACTAAACACTGGGGATCATGCGACAAGCTGACCACTTGTCCAGGGCGTATGCACTCCAGGCCTCAAAGGTCAAAAAAGCAGAAAAAGAGCACTGCAGGCCACGGCTCACTAGGGCTGTAGCGCCACTGAGTTTAGTTTTTATTAGCAGAACTTAAATAATGAAGTATATTACAGTTCTTTGGCTGAGTATATGGCATAGTAGGATCACCTAAAGTATGTTTATTATGTGTCTTTACTTTCCAAGAATTGAGCACTTTTCTCATATCCTTTTGTTTAAAATACAGGTGGGGGTCAAGATAACAGTGTTTTTAGCTATTCTGATGTCCCAAATAGGATAAATTTAAGGGTTGATAACTTTTTAATTGAAAACTGCAGAAATTCTGGAAATTTTTTTTAAATTACAAAAAAAAAAAAAAAAATCAATCCAATATATTTATTGTTCATTTTATATTTTTATATCGAATTTTTATGCATTTGGAAGTTTTCTATAGCTTAATAGGGAAACATTAAATCTATAGGAAATTGGAAGTCACTAAAAAGTTCCATTATTAGCTAGTTACTACAGGGTTTGGTTGTAGTTTTAATGCAAAAAGCCCTTAAAGTATGCAGCATTTTAAAAAGTACAGTACAAAGTCCGTAATCCGGACTCGTCGGGACTTTGCCGATTCTGGATTAGGGGTTTTTTCCGGATTATAGATCATCAATTTAAATCTGGTAAGATGGCATGCAGAAATTATAAAATTAAAAATATGAAACTGTAATTTATGAAATAAAGAGCAATTATGATCTAAAGGGTATCAAAATTTACAAAAAAAAAAGCTTAATATTTATTTGTTTACTTTATTAAACATTTCTTTCAATGTTAAGTTGCTTCATTTTTTGTGCTAATACTTTCTCTTTTATTCTATAAACAGACATAATTTGTTGCTCAGTTACAAAGTTCCACTGTTCAAGTCCTGTAATTGCTGTGTCGAGAATACCGACTAACTTTCAATCGAAATTTTTTCGTTTTCAACAACCTCTCTGTCACTTTCTTCACTATCCGAAGCGGTACATCGAAACATGCTTTAGCTTTGTAGATCCTTTGGTTGCTCCAGAATTATAAACTCTTTTTTGACATAATCGAAAGTTCAAGCTTAATTTTTATAAAATTGCTCTAACAGCCTGCAAGAAATAATAAGCTGGATCCAGTTAGAAGATTAAGGAACAGCACAATCTGCAACATTAACTGAAAAAATAAAGAATCAATAAAGGTAATTGTAGACTAGCTTATACTGTCCGTTATACATTAAACACGCATGCATAAAAGCATACAGAAAAAAAAAGTTTGTGGTTTTGAAGAAGTGCAGATTATAGATCATTCCAGATTACGGACTTTGTACTGTACTAAGTTAAAATTTATATACATGATTTAACATTTTCTGGCAATTTTATTACTATAATTACTTCAAGAAATATATCAAAAACTCCCCAAATGGGAGTAATAAAATGGATGCTTGCCACAGTGCCGCTGGGTTTCTAATCACATCCAGTTAAGTACTGTAAAATGCCTTATTGGTATACATATGAGATATATTCTCAATTTGTAACATGCATTCATTTCTATTACATACTATTATACTATTATTCATATATGATATATCTATCATATATGAATGTATGCATGTTAAAATTCATCGTCTCTATTATATTATCTAGTATACTTTGAAGTTTTCTCATGTCTGACATCACTGCTATTATTTTTTGTCATATTTGTGTTGGTTATTCAGAATGGTAACACAGTTATGTCTTCTATTGTGCATGTCACATTCTTGTTATGCAGTATTACGTACCAGCACTTATTACACACACAAAATACTTCCTTACATATCATAAAATCAAGCAATGCTGTGTATGTGTTTCACTACCTGGTGCAATACTGTGTCTCAGTATTTCACTTTTAAAGAGTTTAAATGTTATGTCATCACGCATGCACAAGTTTCCTGCAACACAAGTCAAAAGTAGAATTCCCATTCATTTAATCTTCTGCAGTCCCAAACAGTACAGCCTCTTGTATAATACGATATAGAAATCATCTGACAGTTAACTTCAAAACCTCTGATAAAGGGCAGTTCAGGCAATACACCAGAAACATGCCCAGATTTGTAAAAAGCCTTATAGTTAGGAAGGATTGCACACTTTATGCATTAAAATCTTCTTCCAATGTTGAACTTTATAAGCATGTTTCAAATTATATGAAGTTTCACCTAACTGCAATTTCCATATTAATTTTTAGTAATAATCTCTCTGTTATTATTGTTGGAGATTCTAAGAGAGAGTGAGAGAGTTGTGTGGATAATGTTTAAGAATTTATCTTTTAGTTTATTTTCATGACCACCCCCAATTTCTTTTACTAGCTTTAACTGTTTATTTTGAATGTAATGAATTAAAAATGGAATGTTGAGGAATTCAGAACTTGCTAATAAAATTAACATACTTTATATAAGAGTTTACTTCATTATGTGTTTACATTTTTTAATGAAATCCAATGTAAAAAACATATAAGATAGCATATGATATATCTATCATATAAGATAGCATAGCACTATAACACTATAAGATAGCATACGATAAAAAAACCACCACATAATTTATTTATTATTTTTATCTACATTTATCTCACTGTCTGATTTTAATTTACACTTATATTTTACATAAGGAGAATAAACGTCAAAACCAAATGAAATAAAATTGTCAAAAAGAACTCTATACCTCAGAGGTAATAAATAAAAATTTACAAATTGTGCAGGTGGCCAAATCAACCACTCAGCTGTATAAATTTGTGAACCTTTTGCAAGGAGCTCCTCTTTAAGTTGTTTAAGTGATCCTTCTAAAACAGCTACAGTACCAAAATATACAGTTAAATTTACTGGAGAAAAAAGTATTTGATCATACAATACTTTTTTAATGACACACTTAAGAGATGACCCTGGTATAAATATATCAATGATTATGTACCAATAGTGAGATAGTACACCAGTAGTAAGTCCTGCAGCTGACATGTGGGCTGTTCTAACAGGTTTCCAGCTGTCTTCTCTTCCAATTAATATTTCATAATGTTGTTGTACTAGATCACCAGCAATACCCATAGCCACAGAAAAAGTTGCATTAGTCAGAAGGAGATGTTTTCGAAACAAATGATTACTAATAGCTGATGATTTCTGGAATATTCTTTTCATACATGTATTTACAATAGTAGCCATGTTTTGCACAGATTTTCTGAAATTAAAAAATATTTTTGAGCTAAAAGAAAAGTACTTTTATAAAATCATAACTGTAAAATTATATGTAGCTTCAGATATGCGTAATTTTAGAGGAAAGAATAAAAAAACTGCAAACTTTTTCACATATAAAATGTAAAAAAATACTTAACATTGCTACATTTGTATTTTCAAAGTACGTGGTTCTTAATATGTGCCATTCTCATGATGCCACTTTGAGTGTTCCACAAAAAATTCAAATACATAATAAAAATTATTGCAAAAGAAAAATTAATACAATGTAAAATAATTTTGATATGGGATTATAATCAGCAAACACAAATGACATGTTAGTTATATATACACTCTGTTTCAAAAAAATATATACACCCAAAAAAAATTGAGCCACAACTGTGAAATGCAGCATGCAAATGTGGTTTGGCTAGTTATGTAAATGATTAAACTTGTAGTACTAATCAGCATTGTGGAGGAATACAATATGCATCTGAAGTTTGCAGCTGGTAGAATGTAAAAGGGCAGGTGTGGGGGGATAAGCATTTAGAGCCATGCACTAATGAAAGATGCCTTAAAGACATATTTGATGGCGTTACAAACAGTTGTCAGACTTTGAGTGGGGTCATATAATAGGGCTAAAAGAGACTGGTTGGTCAAAGAGGCAGGTTAGTTGGCATATTGATCGAAGCGATATGGTCGTTGTCGGAACCATTGGCTCAGTGAAGGTATAGTCAGCTGCCTTAGAGGACCAGTATGTTCCCTGGCCATCAGTGCACAAGATAATCGCACAATTAGAAAAGCTGCCACATCTGCACCAACAGTTACGCTATCATCGATTCAGTGCCATTTGCAAACACGCAGGGATAGGACTCGCTGAAGACTACGTAGCACTGGGGTCAGATCCCGATGTTTGTTAAGACACTTGCAATTGACACCTCACCATAAGCAGTGTTGTCTTCCATGGTGCCGCTATTGCTCAAGCTAGACAGTCTGATTATAGAAATGTGATCTTCGGTGACAAATTAAGCATTTCTCTCAATACTGATACTGCCACATATGGAGAGATGAGTAATCCAATGTGCCATTTGTTACTGAGTGGCACACAGCCAGAATATAGGGTGTGACAGTGTGGGAAGCAATCAACTGGGACAGCTGTTCACCATTAGTTGTGCTGCGAGGTACTCTGACTGCTCACAGATACATTGACATTTTGCAGCTGATCGTACTGCCTTTGCTGGCAGGTCATCCTGGTTCTATTTGTCAACACTCAGCTACATACAGCACAACTTTCCAAAAAATGTCTTCGATGTGTTAATGTCCTCAACTGGTTTACCAGTCGAGACTTGTCACCTATTGTACATGTTTGGCAAGCAAATTCAGCCATATAAAAATATGTTCCAAGTCGCTGACCTTTTGTTTCACTTATGCCACAATCTACCGCAGAGAGACATTGACAACTTAATAGGCTCCATGCCATACTGAGTGTCAGCTTGTATAGCTGCCAGGAGTGGCTTTACCACCTATTGATCTTCTCATTCTTTGTATTACTACGTGTAAATAAAACATTTTTTTCTTCCCGTTTTTTTATGATCTGTTTATCTACTCGAACACTGTACTTCGAGTTTTGTAGTTGTGGCTCAGTTCATTCTGGGTGTATATATTTTTTTACAACATAGTGTCTGATGGAAGGCTGTAAGCTGATTGTCAAAATTAAAGTGTTGGATGCAGGTGAACATGAAAATCAAAAAAAAAAGTCTTAATAAAGAAACCTGGCAATAAAAAAGGGGAGCCTATGAAAGTGTTGAAGGAGCAAGGATCGAATCTAAGCTAGAAGTTAACAATGCCATGCACTTCCACCAAATAAAAAGAACCTTTTCTCTGCTGAGAAGGCAGTTCATTTTCAGTTTTACAAGATTATATGGTGGCGTGCCTGTGCAGTTTGCATTCGAATTTTGAGCAGTCACGCTGATTTCCAGTAATCGTATCAATCTGATTTTTTAATTAAATAAAGCCACTAAGTCTATCATATTACCCATTAATTTTATATTTTTTATTTACATTACAGGTAATAAATAATTTTATCTGAATAAAATATTGTAAGATAATCATTGATAACATTACTGGAAATTGAAGATGATGTAGAAAAGATAAAAAAATATGAGTCAACTTGGAATGTCAATCGTTTGAACAATGAAGAATATTTAAAAATCAGATTTACCTAAATTATCTTTATTTCATATGAGAAGCAAAAAATCAGACAATAGCACAATGGCACCAGCTAAATTAAAACATCATTTATCACCCTTCATCAAAAAATAAAGAATAACTCAAAACTTACGGTAAACAAAGAAAACAGTTTGAAAAACAAATAGTGAAAATAAGAGATAAAATTGAACTTGCCTTGAAGAAAATTGTTGAGTTAGATAAATTATAATAACATTAAAATTAAAGCAATGCAAGATTGCAGAATCTCTCATTTTACCACCCTGCTGTCAAAGTGACAATTATGCTTGGTATAGAAGCAAAGAAGAAAATTTTGAAGACTGTGATATCTGATAACATGATTTGCAGAAGAATTAATAACATGTCCTACAATATTGAAAGAAGATCACATGTAAACTTGTTAACATGCCCTTTGCATTATAATTAAACATTATATGGTATGAGTGACAAAGTGCATGCATCTTATAGGCTTTTTACTATTTACTTATCAACAGAAGAAAATAAATCAGTTTTTGTCAGAAGATAATAAATCAGTTATCAAAGGACTGACAGTAGTGAAAACATCAATTCAAATATAAATACATTGCTGTCTCTTGTACCAAGAAATATTTGTCATAAAGACAATGCCTAAAAAATTGGATCAAGTAGTATCCATGGTAAATTTTATTAAAATGAAATGAATTAAAAGCCGTAATTTCAAACAACATTATTTACCTATGAAAGCAGACTACAAATGCTTATTTCTTTAAGCAGAAGTAAGACGACTTGTCACATGGAAAGTTTTTAAATTGTGCATTGCAATTACGAAATAAATTACTTATTTTTTTTAAACAGAAAAATACTGAAGAATGATAAATGGTTAAAATAACTTGTCGTATTTGGCCATTATTTTTGTTTACTTAAATACTAGTATCAGTATAAATATGCAAAGCACCAATGAAAATAAATTTCATTATGGAAGAGACACACCAGAGAAACACAAAAATGTTAATGGTTAATGGAAGAATTATGATTTGTTGTGGATGTGACAAAATTCAGATATATTTTATTTATATTTTGGAATGTGTGATCAACAAAGAACAAGGAAATATAACACTTTATTTTCATAATACATATGATCAATAATCTGGATAAAAACAACTAGTGACTTCTCACAAAATGTTTCTTGCACAGAGGACTAAAGAAATATTCTGGAAACAAAAAGTATGAAAGTATTCCAATTTGATGCAAAATAGGTCAGAAAAAAGCCCCCCAAAAAAACTTAAAAATTTGTATTTTCAATGCTGAAGGCTGAATTCTATCTCAATTTAAATCCTAAATTTTATCAGTCTTATGATCTGTTCCTTATGCCCAGAAATTCCACTTTTGTTTCTATTGCAGTTTTGAAAGATTCCTCCAGTAACTCTGGTTTAGTTATTTATCATGAAGGATTTATGAGTGATGCAAGAAGTTAAAATACTATATTTTTCAGCCATTCTTATAACTCATTAATTATCTTACTCATTCATTAATTTTTCTTAATATGCATTAATGGAACATTCAATGATCACCCAGAAATGCTGAAAAACAAAATCATGTTCCAAATCAGAAAAAAAGAAACCTATTCAGCACCTGGACTATCAATACATTTACAAAGGAAAAAAATACATGATTCCTACTTCATATTATGGATTTTTTTACTATAGTCATATTAATGGATTGATGTAGAATTTGGCACTGGGTATGAAGCAGATGAATAAAAACCTTTCAGAAATTTAAAAAAAATTTCTTAACATGAGCAAATTTTTCTCAAAGATAAAATACAAATGTCATTACTGAATGATTTGTGGAGATCTTAAAGTAGCATATGCATGTTTCTGGACAACAGATAATATATACAAAATTTCCCGCTAATTAATAGGCCAAAATTCTTCAAACTACAGACACTTAAATGTGCTGGTCATCTGGCCAGAATGCATGTAGGTTGGGATTGTAAGAAAATCTTTCTGGCAAAGCCCAAGAGAACCAGACCTCGGGGTAGACCCCCGGTGTGATGCATCATTTGTGTTAAAAATAACCTAAAAGTCAAATATTGGAAAGCAGTTCCGAGAAGCAGTCATGCCTACTTCTGGAGAAGACCAGAGCTCACCCTGGATTGTCAAGTCAGTGAAGAAGAATGGGAACAAGTATACCTCTCTGCATAATAATGTGGAACATATTATTCATTAAATGCATCACATAATCCTTATTTAAAAATTAAAATTAGTATTTTAAATTGCTAAAGTTTTTTTTTTTTTTTTTTGTACATGTTGATGTTTTCCAACTTACAATAAATGCAAATAAGATCACAAAAACACAAACTTCCATACATACATAACTTTTACCTTGTCATCTGTAAAAAATCGCCAAACTGAATCAAAAGATAGCTGACAGACTAAATGTTGACAATTCGATTGCATTTCACTATTTAAAGCAGCTTACATAAACTTTGGAATTAAATATATGAATTCTGCACATTTTGACAGCATAAACAAACTGAACTGTGTTTCCACAGCCATTTCTCTCCTCATCATCAACAAAAAACCTTTCCTGGGTAAAGTTATAACTGGAGATGCAAAATGGTTTTTGTATATACATAATGGTTTGGTTTGGTTTATTTAATTATGGCAAAGCACACTAGGGCTATCTGCCTAAAGGGAGGGATACCTTCGTGGAGGACTTTCTAAGGGAAACTGGCTCATATACATGTTACACATGGGGAAAACCACGAAACGCCCATGCAGCCAGCCCGTTCGCAGGATTCGAACCTCGGACCGAACTACCAGTGTTCAGCGACTTTAACACTCGGCTGCTGGTGGGCCTATACATAATGAGGAAAAGAAGCTGGAAGCATGGAAGTAAAACAGCAGAATCTATGGCAAAGATTGAAATCCATACAATGAAATTGTTGTCATGTGTCTGGTGGGAATGCGGAAGAATAATTTTTTACTAGCTTCTTCTGTGTGGCGAAACCATAACTGCAGAGCAACTCAGCCAGCTCAGAGTTGAAATGCAAGCAAAATGTCCAAATTCAGTCAACAGAAAATGCATCATATTTCACCAATAATCTGTTTCATTCTCTGCAAAATAATCTGAATAGCAAAACATTTGATTTTATGGAAGAAGTCAAAAACTAACAATTGATTTCATGGAAAAAGTCAAAACCTAACAATTGATTTCATGGTAGAAGTCAAAAACTAACAATTGATTTCATGGAAGACGTCAAAAACTATCGCATGCATTTCTCTGAAGAGAAACCATGCAGTTTCTACAAAGAAAGAATTCAAAATCTTGCAAAACATTAGAAGAATTCAGTACATGATGAAGCCTACATTACTGACTAATAAATAATGATTTTAAAATTTCTTAGCTGATTAGAAACCAAGTTAAATACAACACATTTTTACAAAAAACAGTATTTATTAATTAATAAATATAATACATTTTCATGAAAAACTATTGATTAATAATAAACACATTTCCATGAAAAATAGCATTTTTTTTTTTTTTTTTTTTTTTTTTTTTTTTCATGTGTGTGAAAATGTGGTGTATTTAATTTGATTTCAAATTGAGTAAGAACTTTTAAAAAATCACCCAATATTTTTAAAGTAACTTTATTTATGAAAAATAGCTTTCCAGAAATAAAAACAAAAAATTTAATTTAACTTTCCATAAACAATCAATCACACCTTTCTTACAATTTTTTCAGGCAATATAAATATTACAAAAAATTTTGCAATTTGTTATTTAAGTAGTTTTACCAAACATTTGCATTTCCAAAATAATGAAATGCAGCAATGAAAAAATACTTTTGTCTTTGATACTCCCTCTTTACACCTCCTTCTATCTAACAAAATAAGCAAAAATGCTTATATACTTAGTAAATATATATAAGCAGTTTTGCTTATTCTTATTGATGCTACACATAATCAATATCTAAGTTATCTATAATTTACAAAAACATATTTCATTTCTATGGTGTTACTTATCAACAATAAAATTGTTGAATGCTGGTAATCTGATATGGTTTCAAATCCCAGCAAATGGGCTGACCAAATGAAAGTTTACATGATTTTTCTCATTTCTAACATGAATATGTGCCAAACTGATACAATGCATTTGGGGAAACTGCACCTGCTACTGCATACCTTAAAGGGAGGGTTGCAATCTCGGCCGTTTTCGGGCGGTCCTGGTTGTCTCAATGTAGGGCCATGTGGGGCGGATTGGTCGTGAAAGAATTAATTAATGGCAGTTCTAAATCGAAATGGAACCTTATAAATACAAAGTACAGAAAAATTATATATTTTTTCTGTCCAAGATATCCAACAGAATCTGCAGCAGAAAATATAGGTTTCCACAAACCACCACAATCACACCTTTTGCAAAATAAAATATGGCAAATTACACAAATTTATACTTTTAGTGATAAGCTGAATAATTTTATTACATTTTATAAATAAACTGGTACTTAGATAAGTACTCAGAATTAGTTCACTTATCAATTATTTACATACCCCAATTTGTGGTACTATACACAATTTTTTGCAGGTGGTGCAATATAATTCTTGTTTTATTTTATTTATATATTTATTTTTGTTATTATTGATTGAAATAAAGTACTATACCAAAAATGATTCTCATTAATGTTTAAATGTTCACGAGAATGCTACTGAACCCATGTTCCTCATGACATATTACGTAATAGATACCGTTTACCAAATTTATATAAACACAAAGTTGCATGAACTTTACATAATACAAATCAAAGGTGACAGAATTTTATTGGGAATTAATGGAAATAAGAAAATCTGATCTTGGTTATTAAGTAATCTCACAAGTAATAACCACTTACCTCACTACATTGAGATTTAACACAATTCAGTCAGTCTTTTAGCCTGCTGTAGAAAATTGAGTGTGGAGTGCTACAAAAAAGTAAGGAATGTAAGGGAGAAAAATGGAAACGACGCGAACATAAATGTTCTTATTTGGGTAATATTCAGAAAAAGAAAATGTTAATAACTCTGTTTATGTACTTATAAAACACATAAACAGAGTTATAAAGATATAGAATAAAACATTTTTTTAATAATTACATGATAGTGAAATATAACAAAATAAATTAAAACATAAAATAGGTCAAAGGACTAAATAAATATTTACAGGTGCCGGATACCTATTTTTCTTAAATTTTCAGTAATTAATTCCTAGCATTATATTTTATTCAATTATATGTTATATATATGTAAATACTCTTTGGTATACCTAAGGATCAGGAGCCTTAGGTATACCGCGTTAATAAGCAAACAGCAAAGACGACGATGTTCCTACGCTCGCTGTTCTGCTATTCAGAAATTCCAATAGCGTCTAGCCCTTGCAAATTAAGATTATATTCAAAAACTTGCCAGAAATTTCTTCTATTCAGTTCTCACTCTTCCTCACAACTGCATCAACTCTCTTAGATGTTCTCCATTTCCCAGAGAAAAGCACAAATATCCATCTGACATTCTCCATCCTTAATATTTTTTACTCATATTAGATTCTTCAGTTCACTGATTTGGACCTTCGACCAGAAACTCACACTTTTTCGGTCACCTGACTTTTATTTTCGTCTTTTTGTTTTACTGGTGTTCTTCACATGATACAGAGTAAAAGGAGGCGCTGCTTCCTGAAACTCAAATTCACTATATGATCTTAGTAGTTAATTTATGCTTCACGCATCCGCAATACCCATATTTTCAGCATGATAATCTTCGCCGCTTGGACAAATAACATCTATCTATGTTTGGCTTGGCGCTGAATTCACAGTTCAGACTTCAGCGAAAAGCTACGGATTGTTTGAAATTCGTTCACTTTGTGCCCAAATATGCGAGCAATTACGGTTTAATCCTGATATACGGTACACACGGGATTTGGCGACTTTATGATGAACAGTAAATGTGTCATTTTAGTGTTGGCAACAATTTTCAAAATTACGCCAAGGCCGTAACGTATGTTAGGATTTTACCGCAATTATTTACAGGGGACATAAAAAAAAGCTTATGCAGTGTGAGCTTTGTGCTGATATATGCGAGAATTTATTTAGTGGGGACTTGAAAAAGCTTATGGGGAAATAGACTTTATTCTTTTTTCACTCGTGTTGATGTTTATGAACTGCTTAAATTAATGCTGCAGGTCTTTTGTAACGTACAATAATCAATTAACTTAACCGTATTTTTACAATTATTCCCAAATGTATTTTTGTTTGATATTTTATCTTATATTTACTGTTATAATAAAATTTCTTTTCAAATTCATGCTTTCCACAAAGGCATGTCTCATCCTAGGCAAATAATTCTTTCATAATCAAATAATTTAATCTCATTTTACAAATTTGTTTTTTATTTCATATTTACAGTTATCATAAAATTTCATCTTTTAACAGACATTCAGTTAAATCATATACTTTGGACATTTCTTTTCGTATTCTTGATTACATTATCTTACCTTAGAGGTAATCCAAAATAGGTCTTCGAATATTCCAAATATACAAAATTACCTTTCATACTAATCACTCTATATATATGGGATATGTTATGTCATGATATTCCCTAATCCCCTACTGTGTGACGTATGCATTGCGTCAGCATGTGTTTCCCGCCTTCGGGAGAAGACGAGGATTAGCTGGCGAGCGGAGCAGACGTCGCTCGATCGCTCGTATACCATATTTCATTAATTGTAATCCTAATGTAATTCTATATTTGTAAATAGTAATAAATGTGTGTTATCAACTATGGTCGTTGCCTTTCCCACATTTTGGGGGCTCGACCGTGCCTTTTGTGCATGCGTTAATCGAAACCCTAGACACCAGCAATCACTAAAGACGTTCAGAAAGCTAACAAAGGCAAGGACGTGCCTTTATGACGATTTAATATTCTTCTTCAAGCCGGACGACGTATGTGAATGAAGACGTGCCTTTATGACGATTTAATTATTCTTCAAGCTGGACGACATATGTGAATGATGTTACATGCTACTTGTCCATTCTTCTGATTTTGGACGTTAAATCGAAAATTCGATTTTGGATTACATTGGATTGGCCAAGAAATATATTGGATTATAAGGACTGCCCCGACGTTAGGTAGGCCATTTTTCTCCCCTGATTCGTTCATAATTTATTAGTATTACGATTTTAAGCTGTGTTTATACTGTTTAATTCTCATTCATACCTACCCTATTTCATATTCATATTGTCCTATTTTACTGTTTATGGCCCTAAGAACTATGGCCCTAAAATTAGGTGATATCCCATTGATAGCGAATTCTCTTAAATATGGCACAACACGAGTTATTAAATTATTTAATACCGTGCTCGGATATTCCGATTTTGATCATTCTTCGCGAAAGAGAATGCGAAATTTTGCCGCGTTCCCGGACAGTTTCGATTTGGCAAAACATAAGAACTTCTATTAAAAGATTTTTCTTTATCAGATTTTATATCAGTGGCTAATTTATTGCATTTGGAAGCTTCCACTAATAAAGATGTTTTATGTGAAAAAAATTTTCATGCGCTCACTAATCTGACGGATTTTCACAATTCCCTAGATGTTAGTTTTTTATCCGATGACGATCATTCAATTTCAAACACCGACAGTGCACCGACGCCTGTAGGTCTAAGTTCTTCTGTTCCCCCTTCCCCTCCCTCCACGCGCCAAGCCCAAATCGCGTTGTTTCTTCTGACGCGGAAGTAATAAATTTGAATTCGAGTCGCTCCGGTGTTTATATGACGGCGAACACCGAGATTCGCGAGATGAGTCATGACTTATGGTTTATTTTGAGAGATCTTTCAAACACTTGCAGAAACTTTTCAGGCAATGATTCCTATTCAGTTCGTGCTTTTTTCAACGATATAGAGGATAATTTCCA